TAAATAAAAACAAATGCCACTTGCATAAATATTCGACGTTACGTTTATTTTTTAAAGATCACTGGTTGACCCTCAATTCCAAAGTAATTTAGATTTTTCGTTTGTCTCAATATAAAGGGGATTAGTTATTACCGCGTATTTGGCTGTCCTTGAATTTGATAGAACCCTTTATTGATCTTTTGGCTCTTGCGACGCGCCACCTTCGAAGGACACGGGGTCATTATATTACAGCGATTACGTAAAAATGTAATTACGCATTACGCAAGCATCCGACATTTTCCCTAAAGTAAAGAATTGGAGTAGGTACAATGTTAGTAAAATTATTTTAGGGTGCGAAGAGAATTTCGAGTGACAATTTCAACAAAAAAACGAATAGATGCTAGTAAAGATATACCAAGATGTTTTAGATCAGATTCTTTGAATTGCCTTAGATTGTTGGGAAATATGTTTAAATTTGGTATCATGAAGTCCATTCTGAACTCGAAATGGAATGGGAACTTAGTTTATAGAACGATTTCGAGTCCGTTTGTTCTAACTTTAAAATGTTTAAAGATTAATCTTGTTTTTTTAGCATTTTGTAGGAAATTAGTTTATGGTTTCCAATCAATGTTTTCATTCTAGTAGGTATACATATGTAGCACGAGCTAAACAATGCCCATATTTATATAGATGAAAATTATTTACCTCAACGTTATTGTTAAATTATTCGTTAAGTACTTACTTTATCTAATGGTCGTTTTCACAAACTATGATTAAAGTTAATCGATGGTTAACAATTGCAGAATGGGAAGCATCTTACCTTCTAATCGCAGGTGGCATTTAATTAATAAACATTTTTAATCATTGATTAATCTTAATCCATCGTTTGAAAAATCTGGTATTTATTCGACTAATTAGTTAGGTTAGTAAACCAATAGGTTTCCTTGGTAGAATCTCAAACTTAGCAGTGGCACCTAAAAATTAGACTCGAATTACTTGCTATTTAGCTTGTACTTTATCGATAAAAAGTACGGACGATTAAAAAAAAGCGTTGTTATACCTGCCACTTTATAGCAGATTGTTATTCTTTTTAAAATTATCGTATACAATCGCCTACTTTTTAATTAATATTATCGCTTCTCTGTTTGTAGGTATTGTAATTTTTAGTTAATTACGCCGATATCGGCGACCTTCAATTTTGAATTACTCGCTGTAATTTGTTTTTATGGCCTTTGCAAATGGAGTAGAATAAATCATTTTTATAATTAAGTATGTACCACAGTGTTAACTTTTACAAGAGAGTGGTAGAAGCAAAATTTGTTTTGGAAAACTGTCGGACTAGGGTGAAAACTACTGATAAAGAAAGAGAAACGCTTTACTATCAGTCATAATTATGGTAATATGATGTCATGATTATCGCAGAGGGACCTACGTTTTTGTTTGTTTTTTTTAGTATCTCCTCTAACGGCTGTCCAAAAAGGGTGTGTTTGTGAAAAACTTAACCAGTAACAACGCCATTCCCTTCTTAGCATTACTATAATCTTTTCGAAGAGGCCGTTTCTGGCGCTGACAATCTAAATTGTTGTTACAGGCGTAATATGAGACAAATCTCTACGATACACTACAATAAGCAGTGAGTGCGTCTAACATAAATTTCTCGTACGATTCATGACTAGGTGTCGAGTAGGAAAATGGTCGGTCTATTGCTTGGTGGCGTACACTGTTCAGAAATTGTTGCAAATAGGAGTTACGGTACGGCATTGCTAAATTTTCGAAACAGCGAAGGCGCTAAATTTTCAGAACCCTGTGTTTAGTAAAATATGGGATTTCCAAGTCTTATAGATCATGTCGCAACACTTCAATCTCACCTCATGACAATTTATTTATCTTACATACTTGATTATGCTTTATCGATGACGTATTTATTCAGTGATATCGAAACTATTGTAAAAACGCGCACGCCGTAATTATTTCACTTGGTATTGGTCTGCAACGTCATTTTCAACAATTTGTGCAGCGAAATGAAATCCTAATAATGCTAATAAACATTAAAAACAATAAAGGAGTAGATGTGAAACTCTTACGATTTGTGGTGCAATAAGTTACAGCTAAGTCATGCGCCTACTCAATAGTCGTAGATATGAGACGGGTTACTTCTGCGTCTATCATAAAACCCTTAGAACGAAGTGGCACGTTAGTCATGTAAGTTTTTTTTAAATTTTCTTACCGTTTGCATGAATTCCGAATTCGGCAACATTTATTTCGATAGGTCAATCAAATCTTATAAGCATTTTATAATTAAGCGGATGTCATTTCATTGACATATTAGTCAATGATCATTTTTCGACGATATGGTTCCTTACTTCTCATTCTCGGGTACAGTGAAATTTCTGTTTCGAACAAGCATGTAATGGTAGTTTGACTCTGGATATTTTACACCTCGTTTTACACTAAACAAAGTGCTAACTTGAAGGGCACTATTTCGCGCTTAAAATCATTTCATCATTTCAATTTTCTGGGATAATGAATACATTTTTATTTTATTTAACAATAAACGAATTTACTATTACAAGTAATAAATGTGCGATGTCAATAATAACAGAGGGTTAACGTTTTGTTTTATAAAATTCCATGGCATCACAGATTATTGAAAAAGATACGGTAAAGTCACTAAATATAGAAAGTACCGCAATCCATTGGGCTCGTGTGTTAGAGAGAGAACGTATGATTTTTGCCCAAAAATGGCGGAAGTTACCAGATTCTAGTAACTTTGATGTTAAGAATTGTTCCACCTGTTTGGAGATATCTGTATATATTTTTATAAAACATGACAGTACTATGAAGTTAGGTTATAAAAAATGACAGGTATTCAGATTTTATTTGTCAATTTTTTAAGTTGGCAGCAAATTTGCCCAAAAATGGCGGATGATTGCGGTACTTTCTATATCTAGTGACTTTAAGATACGGTTTTTATTTTTCCAATTTTCCGTCTTTATTATGAAAAAAATTGAAAACTAATACGGTTGATTGACGTAAAAAAATTTTTTCTACAAAAAACCTTAATACATTTTTGCTCTAAAATAATTTGGGGAGCCAATAATCGCATATTATGAATTTTACATTGAAATCCGTCATTGTTTAAATACTTTATTTACACAATGGCGCAAGTCACCACCCTGTATAGTGGTTGTGAAATTTAGTGTCTTTTATTAATCTCCCTTAATCCACTCGATCTTGGTTTCAAATCAGGATAATTTTATTTTTAATTCACGCAAATTTTGTTGCTTGCTGGAAAAAATTCTCGATCAAAAGCATAAGATAAAATCGCTCCAGCTATAAAGCTGAATTTTTGAAGTCCCTAAGACCCCGTATTGCATCTAGAAGTGCGAACGTAGTGCCATTTGTCGGGGGTAAATACACAAGAGCTTGATTTTTAATCGGATATAATTTTATTCTTACACGAAAGTTTTGTTGCAATGGAAAAACTAGACATCAAAAGTGTGATAAAATCGCGACAGATTTAGTTGGAGAGATTTTACCATGTGCTTTTGATCGAGAGTTTTTTCCAGGAGGCAACAATTTATAAATGAAAATTATCCGATTAAAAATCAAGTTCTTGATTAAAAATGTGTCAAAATTTTATCGCTTCTGATTTTATTACTTTCAAATATCCAAGATACTTGGACGACCACAAACTTGTTGTTGTTTAGATACCAAACTGTCACTGGCAACAAGTCTACCTAATGCGCTAATTACGAATGCACTTATCTCTTGCACGATGTCCGGTTTTGGTGCAAATTCTTTCGCAAATGTTGAAACCGCCGTGAATAATTAACCGGGACATTATCATGCCGAATATCCCGCGTGCTAAAAAATAGCCTGATTAAATTTTGTCGTTTTTCGTCAAATTGTTTTACTATAAGAAGAAGTACTTCGTCTCCTTAATTGGCAAATTGACTCAATGTACTTCTAAGCAACACGTCAAAATTGAATCGGCTATTTTTATTCACTTTGGATATTACTGTTGAATAAAAACACACCATGATAATACGAATCCAATGCCGAAAATTCAAAGACTCTTATTATATTTCATTGCTTGAGATCTTAAACTAGAATGTTTTACTTGGTTTAATAAGGGACAGGGACGGGTGCAATGTAGCTATCCCGAGGTGTTATAGCTCAGCTAATTTCTGTAACGTCGGCGGTTTGACTGTAGTCAAGTATTTATTATAAAAGTGACTTAGATTCGATTTGTTGTAAATTCTATGCTAAAACCTGTATTAATCTCAATATATGTACTCTTACTCCGAAGGTATTTATAAATATTTTAGGTAATTAAAACTTTCCCCGCTGTTAGGTACCTACCTATTTATTTGCGATAAACTTTTTAACCATTAATTGCTTGGATTTTTTTATTGCGAAATTTCAAACCAGTTTCATTTCTCTCGGATGCGCCGATCAGCCGAAATCCGTGGATTATTTACAATGGTCGAGAAATCTTCAAATTTGTGAAAATAGTGATTTTAGTTATGATTGCAAATTCGTTTCGATATCATTTGACATTTTGAGGCCATGCTTTACAATTTGACCTAAATTTTGATTTATTACATCATATACCTACTTTGCTCTAAGGCATTGCCATTCTACAATTTGCGATCCGTATAACAGAATAATATACTATCTCTTTTCTCTATTTCCTTGATCAAATTGTTATTTATGTTAGAAGTTACGCACTTACGCACCCTTTACTTGAACCGTATGTACCAAAGAAAGTAGCTGCCATACATTCTGTATTGATGGCGGGTTCAACAAAAAAGTACAGTTTATATAAAAGTTTTTGAGTCGTAAAACTTGACACGCAATTTTAATTGCCAATCTTTATCAATCTTATTAATATTAGGGGTTATCTTTATGTTATCTTTCTCTTTACTTTGTTTTGTATGTACCACTTGTAAAATTTGTCAATATTTTTAACAAGCGTATGTCTCTTTCATATTGTAACTGATTGTATTCATTTTCAGGCGTACATTTCTGGTAAAATATTCAATCGTGGATCTGTCAAGATATGGCACCGTCTCATTCTCGTCACTTGTTAGTGTGGACTACATTACCAATTGCCATTTTGCTCAGTTATTTATGGTTCAAAAGGAAAAGAACAGAAACCACAAGTGACCCTCAAAAGTCTACCGAACTCGTCAATCAAGAAGAACAGAATCAAGTTGCCGTTGAAAACGTAGAAAAGGTAGAGTGCACTTCTGTCAAAACCCTTAAACGATCCATTTCGGGTGTAGAGTCCTCTCCCATCGATATAGTATTCCCTCCCGAACTGAAGTCTACTAAATCTAGTCAACTTATGATATCGGATGAAGATTTAGATTTGGAAATTGAAAAAATTAAATCCATGAAGACTACAAGCAATCCTTCTGTCGAACGGTTGAATAGTAAAAAAGACAACCAACCCAATTCCGTCGTAGAGAGTGAGAGTACAGAAAGGTCGACGAATTTGATGGCCACCGCTTCTCCAAAGAAACAATCGACAAACCTCAAAAAGGATGCGAATAAAACCATGGAAACCATTGAAAATAAAAACGTAAAATCTCCGCTCAATAAAAATAAAAAGGGAAAGATGCCGCAAAAGGATGTAGGCGCTACTCTTAGGAAGAAGTTTAATACTCTTAAAGTGGAAGCTAATGTCACCCAAAAATTCACTACTAGTGGAGCAGACGCAGACCAAGAAACTGATAAACAAAGTAGTGAACGTGATTCTGCCAATCATAGCCCTGCGGATGTTATGTTGGCCAGTCCGTCATTGAGCTGCATTTCGGACAGTCACAGTGAGGTAACGTATTTTTTAGTTTTATTTTGATGCAGATTGAATAATCAATCGAAGTAACTAGCAAATAGCAATACTGATATAATTTGTAATAAAAATGTGAGACAAGTTTGGTGCCAATTGTTTGTGCAGAAAGTTTAACGCCTTATTAAGAAATAATCGTTTGACAGATTTATAGAACGTACAGTACGTATGTTCTTGATTACAGCCTTTTTTGGTGGTTTTTAACCCTTAATCCTTTTCAGTGTGCTATTTAACTAATACGGTTTAAACCACACGACTTTGGTATATCCCCATTAGGTACTATCTTTGACCTTTGCCAAAAGTTTTCACACTCTTCCCTGTTGAAGCAACTGTTTTAATGTTTTATTGAAAATGTTGCGACTGGCGACTGTTTACCTAACTTTTCCATTGATTTGCTGAGTGGAACCTTTTATGTAATAACATTGTTAATAATTTTAATAATATATAATGTAATCTTTTTCTTTCACTTTGTTTGATATGTGAAATTTTCTTCTACTTTTTCAAGTAGGTTTTTGAATTCATTTTTATTGTCATGTAAACCAATATTGAAGTAATAGTTGCCTGTGTATAGCAAATTGCCACAACCATCTGCTGCTGAACTAACATTCAAAACTTTCTTTTATTTCACTTTTCCCTTGGGGAACCAACTATACATGCTCTTATTTAGATTGTCACGTAGACATTTCCAATTGCGGCAGTTGCTGCAGTGTAGACCAAGCATGTCACACACGCGGCCCACCGTCTTAATTAAAATCTGCGGCCCATTGTTTATTATAAGATTTAATTGTACAGCGTGTCCTATTTTGGTCGAGACTGCAGTGTATCTCAGCTGTTTTTATAGAGTTGCGGTTTTCGGGACCCTGTGATACTTTTGATACCACAAGCAGAATCAATGTACCGACGTTGGTTTCTGAGGTACAGGATGAAAACGGAAATTTTGGAAAAAATGTAGTTTGCAATACATCAATGTAATCAGGAAAAGGAATGTAAATATTGTACATAAGTAGTAAGCAGTAAGATATAATAACATCCCAAAAGTCAAACTTTTGTTTTAACCCTGTATCTCTGAAACAAAAGGTAGGTAGATTCATTCTGGTTGTGGTAATAAAAATATCACAGGGTCGCGAAAACAGCATGTCCCTATTTAAAAAAAAATAGCTGCCAAATACACAGTACATTTTCTCAAGCGGGTAGAATACTAATGATTATTTGTATTCTTTCGTTTTATTTATTATATTACTTTGTATACTTAATTGTGTATATGATATAATGTGATCCGCAGCCATATGTGGAAACCTTAAAATGGTCCTTGATGATAAATGAGTTTGACATACTTGCTGTAGACTCACTGAAAGCTTATCTTTTCAACTAAAAACTGTGTTTTTTATAGTTGACGTAAATTAGATTTTTTGAGAGAAAAAATGTATAAAGTGTTAAAAATTTGGATACAGACTCCTTAAAGACAAGTAAATATACAGGGTGTTTTTTTGGGAGCTTTAGTTAAAAGTTTCTGGGAAAGTAAAATAGGTAGGATTTTGAAAATTTGTACTTAGGAGTTACTCTGAAGGCCGAATCGATGTAAAATATTTTCAAAATGGCCGCACTTCCGGAAACACCGGAAGTAGATAGTAACTTCGTTATTTTAAATGGCAACCCCTATTTTTTATTGCATTTTTGGATTCTACGTGAAATTTCACTTCTTTTGATACCCATATGTCGATATCTGCCATTTATGGTTTTTAAGTTATTTTGACTTTAAGAAAAAAAAATGGCGGATGCAGATGGTACCTTGATAATTGATTACTTGAAAAAGGTTATAGTCATGGCAACCCATTTTTATCAGCATAGAGAATGAATAGGGCTTTCTTTTACTGTACTTAAAACAAAGTTAAGTTGCGTACAACCGCACCTATGGAGATCCAAATTTAAGAAACTTCAAAGTCTATAAACTCAGTTTTTTTAAATGGAATGACCATGTTCTTAATATTGCATGAGATAGAGAATCGAAATTGGCATATTTTGATATTACATGTTCCTATAGCTATCTTTAACAGTTTCTGATTTATTCCCATTTCATTGAATTGATCTCGGAATTGATGCCATTTTTTTTCGCATTTTCTTTTTAGTAGTTGGCCATGATTTTATAACAATCGAATTTTAAACAAATCAAGGAATGGATTCTTTAATACCACTGATTCTAGTTCTAGTCTAAATAATTCTTTAATAAATAACTCATTTAATAAGGATATAGGACAGAAAATTTTTGAAAAATCTAAACAGAGTCGTTCAACTGAATTTCTTAAACAACGTATAAGTCTGGAAATTAAGAGAGGTAATGCGATATCTGTTCTAGCAACAATTCCATACCAAAAATGTTTCAACAAAGTTTTTTATATTTTGCATTGAATTTATTTTGTTAATCTTGCATTTGCAATTCAATTCATTTTCTTAAATATTCTCTTGTAGAGCTTTGTATAACTTGTGCTTCAACGGTTTGTAGTGCATTAGGGGTACAAAATTTCAAAAATTCATACAATTTCGTTCTAGTTTTCGAATGAATGTACGGAAAGCACGCGCCGCGATTCTGCCCATTTCACCATAAATAACAATTAAATTCCAAAATAGGTGAAACCACTGCGAGTCATTTTTCGATTTTTGAAAAACTTATGTTAACCTATAACAGTGGGTGATGGATTAGTGTCACTAGATTTGTTTAAAATTCAATTGTTATAGAATCATGGCCGACTACTAAAAAGAAAATCCTAAAAAAATAGTGTCAATTCAATAAAATGGGAATAAGTCAGAAACTGTTAAAGATAGCTATAGGAACATGTATTGTCAAAATATGCCCATTTCGATTCTCTATCTCATGGAATAGTAAGAACATGGTCATTCCATTTAAAAAAACTGAGTTTTTAGTCTTTGAAGTTTCATAAATTTGGATATCCATAGGGGCGGTCGTACGCAACTTAACTTTTTTTTAAGTGCACTAAAAGAAAGCCCTATTCATTCTCTATGCACTGATAAAAATAGGTTGCCATGACTACAACCGTTTGCAAGTAATCAATTATCAAGGTACCATCTGCATCCGCCATTTTTTTTCTTAAAGTCAAAATAACTTAAAAACCATAAATGGTAGATATCGACATATGGGTATCAAAAGAAGTGAAATTTCACGTAGAATCCAAAAAAGCAATAAAAAATAGGGGTTGCCATTTAAAATAACGAAGTTACTATCTACTTCCGGTGTTTCCGGAAGTGCGGCCATTTTGAAAATATTTTACATCGATTCGGCCTTCAGAGTAACTCCTAAGTACAAATTTTCAAAAACCTACCTATTTTACTTTCCCAGAAACTTTTAACTAAAGCTCCCAAAAAAACACCCTGTATATCAAAAAAATTCCCCGCTCTCAGGAGGGCGCTTCATCCTCTTTTGGTCCAAAAACCACTCCTTCGGGTGACCTCTCACTGGTGTTTTCAATTTTTCTTGAAAACTGTTATCCTGACGAAGAAAGTGGATAGTATCTAAATTATTCTTTATTAAATTTTGTGTCTTTTATGTCCTATAAGTTTTTTTCCCTATATTCCCAATATCCCTATATTGTACCCTAATTCAAATAAAATAAAAATAAATAAGAAAAACCTCACAAATATGGATAGAATACTACTGTAATGCAAAAAACAAAAAAATGTTTAATTTCTGTTTTGTTTTTTGTGTTGGACCCATTTGCTACACCACCTTTAACGTAGAGACCACTACGCGTTTTCCCTTTAGGTAATTCTTGCTCTACCACCGAATTAAATCCTTGTCCATGACAACTGGAACATGTTACCGAACACTTTAGCACAACTGCATCGTTTTCCGCAACCCTTTCTAAAACTAGACGATATCAATTGAAGGAGCTGGTATATCTGTTGTAAAAATTTGTACCAAAATTTGACTGATTGTTTTCCAATCCCATTCTTACGAATGCTGTTCTAAAGCAGCTGATGTTGGTGGTAGTCTTGATTAGATTGACCAACAGATTGTTTAAATGAAATGAATCTAAATGCGTTCAACGATGTACGATGTTGTACTAGTATCACATTCACTAATTGGGTGAACAAATAATACCTAAGTATATTATTTTTACAGTTATGAAGGATTTTCGAATTCTATAAATCGAGAGAACTAGATGCCCTTGCCTTGATGTTTTCTTAAACATTTTTGTCTAGAGGAGAAAGAGCAATTTTGAGAATAAGAAGATCAACATCTGGTCCTACCACAATTACCGTGGAAATTTTATGGGCTTTCTTAATGGCAGTTTGGACCATTAAAGAATCCGCATCGTCTATGGCAGAAAGTGCTTGGATATCGACACATTCCAAAACGCGCTTGCAACATTGATGATAACGCGCTTTCTTATTAACGTCATATTTGTGAGCTTAAGATTCGTTAAAGGGAAAAAACGTATAGATTCTATCAATTGCCTAGTCAGAGTTGCAGTTCGAGAAAAATTGAAAACACTAGTGTGAGGTGGTATTAGGAGGGTGGTTTTTGAACAAAAAGGGGGTGAAGGCTCCCCTGAGAGGTGGGAACTCTTTTCATCTGTATTTACTTGTCTGTAAGGAATTCCTACCCACTGTTTCAAAACTGTATAATTTTTTTTTCTATACCTATGCCATTTTTACTGCAAACTTACGTCGACTATTAAGACACAATTAGAATGCGGTATGTACCTACTACCATGTTTTCATCTACAGGCATGAAATTGTGTGATTTTTAAATCAAAATTTTTTATTATCGTATTTTAATACTATGATTTTGTAGGGATCTAGTGATAGCGGTAAAGGATGTAGTGAAGTTGCAACGCCACCATCGCGGACGCCGGCCGGAGATGGCTCGGTATCGAGCGATACAGTATTTCCTACAATTTATCAGTTCGTAATTCCTCAAAATCTTGTTGGGAAACTAATAGGGCGCCATGGCACGTTCGTAAATCAAATTATGAGCAAAGCTCATGCCCATATAGTGATAAAAAAACATCCGGACAACGACCAGTTAAAAATTTGTGTTATGGAAGGAATGCAAGTTGAAATAGAAAATGCCCTAAAAATGATCAGAAACAAATTCCCATTGAAACGTTTTCCAGAATTAAGTTTAGAAAAAATTGTATTTGAACCTCCGGTTCCTACTTTATCTTTAGCACCTGAACAGTTATGTGTAAGTGTAGCGTTCGCATCTTTCACTGAAATACACATATTATTTTACAGCTAAAACTGTTAGAAGGTATTAATAATGACACGATTGTTAGTTGTATGGTTAGTCCGAATCACCTATTTTTACAACAACCAACTCATCCGAGTTTTCCTAATCTAAATATCTTAAGCAATTGCATGAACGCTTGTTATGCCGATGCAAATTCGCCGATGTTGCCAAATCCTCTGCCAGGTAGTTACAAATACAAGATGTTTTGACCCTATAAAATGTTATCAAACCGTAGAATATCCGGTGTGTGCTGCTTACTCTTTGGGCGCGTGGTACAGAGCGTTAGTGATATCGAAGAATGATGATGCAGATGCGTCGTATATTAAATTTTTAGATTACGGAGGTTACGCAACGATTAAAAACTCCGATCTCAGACAAATTCGAGCGGACTTTTTAATGCTACCATTTCAAGCGGCCGAATGCTTCTTAGCAAATGTAAAACCGACAGGGGGTAAGTGTCGCTAATATCACAAAAGAAGTGTTACATTCTGGAGTTGCAGGAGATGATGCAGAATGGGCGGAAGAAGCTTTTAGTTTAGTTGCTAGCCTTACCAAGGGTTCGATAATATTGTCCCAAATTGCCGAATATACTGAAGATGGGACTCCTTTGGTGTTGATATATGTCTCTGTGCCACCACAGGTAAATATCATTCAAGATTACCAACTAATTTGATGTCTCGAAGACTTCATTGTATCGATTGTTACACATTATCGAATAGGTACCTTATGCATATAATTCAGGGTGTTAATAATAGTTTCTCAAAATATGAAGGACACTTTAAATTGTTATTGCTCTACCGATGATGTGTCTCCTTACAATTTTATTTTTAAGATTTGTCATGAAAACCTCTTAGGAGAAAATAACTACATTTATTGTATTACAACATTATTGTGTCAATTTATTGATATAAAATGTACAATTGGACAAGTTATTGAATGATATTGGGCAATCTGGAAAAGACGAAATGTGAACAGTATTTAAACTTGAATAATCTGTTGATGGTCCAGCTTTGTCCATCGTTTTGTCTTCCACGCCCAGTAGAGATCTCGAAATTTTATTTTTTGAATCAACGGAATCTTCCAAATAGCCTTCCGCTAGGAATGTGCTTCGCCATCCTCCATGCCTCTTTTATAGACGTAATATCGAGTCCACTGTCGGCAAGTAACGTAGCAGATGTTCTCTGAAAACTGTGCCCTTATGTTACCTTTGTTAATAAATACGTATCATCTGGAGCTTCCGTCATAAACTTGATCACGTTTTCTTTAGGTAATACCTTAGCTTTTTTGAACTCATAACCAATGGATTTAGCCCACAAAGAACTGCACTGGTAAGTTTTCGACTAAAAATTAATAAAAAAGGATAACTCTGAGGATAACAAATAATAAAAAATCATTTTAACATACCTTCTCGCTAAAATAGGCTAGTAAGACGGTTTCATTGATAACTGTCACCTATTTTTCCTTCATCCAGAATTCCCAAGATGAAAACTCCTTTTCATATCGGTCTTCAGACTTGCTTGGGATCAAACCCAACACAGCTTCATCAACTTCCACTAATGTTTCGGAGGGAATTTGCTCAGCGTTCACTTCCATTCCGAAATTATGAAAATTTTTGTTTTACAATGTTTGTTTTTTCCTTAGAAACAAGTAACCTATATTTTTTCATCGTTTTTAACCATGTTTAATTAAATTTTGTAGGTTTTCTGCAGTTGTGCGTAAAACGTTGTACATGCCTCGGACCGGAGGAAGATTACGACCTTAGCCTCTAACTTCGGCCACGGGCGGAATCTTATACCTCCGGCTCTCTATACAGGGTGGCCATTTGAAAACGAAACAGAGCCTATTTTGGGGACCTCAAAACATTTACGAAAAAATCCTCGGACCCGTCAATTTTTGATTCAAGGGGGAACCATTTTTTTGCTAGTTTCGCCCCCCTAAGGGCAAAGCGCTAGCAGGGGTGACAACCGCCCCCAAAATTTTAAATCGAATGGGGGGTCGAGTGATACCTTATTTTGAAGGTATTTTTATGTGGATTATAACCTTTAACTTTTAAATCGCTACTAATTTGCTTAGCCGATACAGGGGCTAATAAAAGTTATAAAAACTTGTCAACATTTTCTTATGAAAAAAAATGTAAATGAATTAGTTAAATTTTGGTTATTGTTGAGAGCGTTAACATTTTTAACATTTTGAAGTTTAATAGTGATTGTCAATTGTTGTCAAATCATAGTAGTGACAAATAGCACTTTAAAGTTATTTAGTTGCAAAATCGGTACATTGAACAGTGATAATGGTTTATCCACTTCCTGAAAGAGTTGAAATAAATGTTCCTTTTTCTATTGGGCTGATTCAAATCCCAGAATATTTCGTGTGGTGCATACACAACATCCCGAAAAATTGAATGTTTGGGCTGGCATTTTTGGTAACCATATCCTAGGCCCCTTCTATTTACCTCGCAATCTAACAGGAGAGATGTACCTGGAGTTATTAGAAAATACGACTCATCCAGCATTAGTGGAGATACTAGAAAATAACAACGAGTACTTGGAAAATCGTCTAGTATTTCAGCAAGATGGTGCGCCATCCCACTATGCTGCAGGGGTTCATCAATATTTGGACCAAACGTTTCCAGAAGAATGGATTGGAAGAAGAGGAGCTATTGAATGGCCTCCTCGTTCCCCGGACTTAAGTCCGTTAGATTTTTTTTATGGGGGCATTTAAAAACTAAAATTTATGCTAGTCAGCCAACATCGTTAGACAACTTGCGACAAAGAATAATTGATGAATGTCGTCAAATCACCCCAGGAGTTTTACAAAAGTACGGGAAAGGTTTGAACAAAACCTGTATTATTGTATGGAAGTCGAAGGCCAACATTTTCAACATTTACTTGATTGAGTTTAGCTGTAAGCACTTAAAATAAAATTGATTTAAATCTTAAGAGTTATAATCTACATAAAAATACCTTCAAAATAAGGTATCACTCGACCCCCCCCATTCGATTTAAAATTTTGGGGGCACTTGTCACCCCCGTTATAGCTTTGCCCCCGGGGGGCGAAACTAGCAAAAAAATGGTCCCCCCTTCGATAAAAAATTGACGGGTCCGAGGATTTTTTTCGTAAATGTTTTGAGGTCCCCAAAATAGGCTCTGTTTCGTTTTCAAATGGCCACCCTGTATGTAAATAACTATTAAGGTCGGTCGAGCTTGCTTGTGTTACGGATGTGTACAAGAGCATATGCATATAGTATGTGTTTTGCCTTGATTTAATAATAAATTATGTTTCAGCAAATTATTTTCTTAAATGGCGAACTGGTAAATAGAGGATATGCGGAATGGGTGTCTCCAGAACCGTATATAATGCAACAGTCTTAACACCCGCTACTGGATAAATAAAAAAACTGACTGAATCTACAGCTCCCAAATGAAGACTATATAAATTTCATTGTTGTATAGACTTATTTTACTGCCTTGATAATGAGAGTGTGTTAATTGCATGGTTTGTGTACATAAAATCATTACAATTTTTATCTTGCTACGAGTTATTAGTGGAGTATCCAATTTTTTTTTTGTTAAAATGTAAGAGAATAATTTATTTTAGTTGACTGGTTTCTTCAATTGACCCATTACTTTTGAAGCGGTAAATTTAAGTCTACATTTAAGAAGGGGACATCTTGATTTTACCTACTATGGTTGTATATAAGTGACTGAGATTACTTATTTTTAGAATATAATAATATATATGTTGAAGAATCACTTTTGCATTTGGTTATTTTGTGTATATTATGTTTTGTTTTTGGTTAGTGTTTATAACTGTAAAAAAAAGGTATTATAATTTGCAGTGTTGTTCTGTATTGAAAAAACCAATGTAGCTTTGTTGTAAATACATTTTTGTAAAATATAAATTTTTCAAGTTTCATTTTTACAATTTGTGCAAACCCCTCAGAAGATACCCAATGTTTTCTTTCTTGGTTTGAGATTTCACCAGGAAATATGGTGCTAGTTCGTGAGATTTCAGTTTTTATGGTGCCACTGCAAACTGTAAAATCTAAACCAAAACTCGAAAATCGAGGGTCTTAAATGGCGCCACCGTCGCATTTTAGTTCGAGATTTCACTAGGGTCTTAAGCGACGGTGGCGCCATTTAAGACCCTGGTGAAATCTCGGATGAACTAAAAAACGACGGTGGCGCCATTTAAGACCCTGGTGAAATCTCGATGAACTAAAAAGCGACAGTGGCGCCATTTAAGACCCTGGTGAAATCTCGAGGAACTAAAAAGCGACGGTGGCGCCATTTAAGACCCTGGTGAAATCTCGATGAACTAAAAAGCGACGGTGGCGCCATTTAAGACCCTGGTGAAATCTCGAGGAACTAAAAAGCGACGGTGGCGCCATTTAAGACCCTGTTGAAATCTCGATGAACTAAAGAGAGACGGTGGCGCCATTTAAGCTCCTGGTGGAATCTCGATGAACTAAAAAGCGACGGTGGCGCCATTTAAGACCCTGTTGAAATCTCGATGAACTAAAGAGAGACGGTGGCTCCTGGTGGAATCTCGATGAACTAAAAAGCGACGGTGGCGCCATTTAAGCTCCTGGTGGAATCTCGACGAACTAAAAAGCGACGGTGGCGCCATTTAATACCCTGGTGAAATCTCGAGGAACTAAAAAGCGACGGTGGCGCCATTTAAGCTCCTGGTGGAATCTCGATGAACTAAAAATCGACGGTGGCGCCATTTAAGCTCCTGGTGGAATCTCGACGAACTAAAAATCGACGGTGGCGCCATTTAAGCCCCTGGTGAAATCTCGATGAACTAAAGAGCGACGGTGGCGCCATTTAAGCTCCTGGTGGAATCTCGACGAACTAAAAAGCGACGGTGGCGCCATTTAAGCCCCTGGTGAAATCTCGATGAACTAAAGAGCGACGGTGGCGCCATTTAAGCCCCTGGTGAAATCTCGATGAACTAAAAAGCGACGGTGGCGCCATTTAAGACCCTGGTGAAATCTCGAGGAACTAAAAAGCGACGGTGGCGCCATTTAAGCTCCTGGTGGAATCTCGACGAACTAAAAAGCGACGGTGGCGCCATTTAAGCCCCTGGTGAAATCTCGATGAACTAAAGCGACGGTGGCGCCATTTAAGCCCTGAATCTCGACGACTAAAAAGCGACGGTGGCGCCATTTAAGACCCTGGTGAAATCTCGAGGAACTAAAGAGAGACGGTGGCGCCATTTAAGCTCCTGGTGGAATCTCGACGAACTAAAAATCGACGTTGGCGCCATTTAAGCCCCTGGTAAAATCTCGATGAACTAAAGAGCGACGGTGGCGCCATTTAAGCACCTGGTGGAATCTCGACGAACTAAAAAGCGACGGTGGCGCCATTTAAGACCCTGGTGAAATCTCGAGGAACTAAAAAGCGACGGTGGCGCCATTTAAGACCCTGGTGAAATCTCGAGGAACTAAAAAGCGACGGTGGCGCCATTTAAGCTCCTGGTGGAATCTCGATGAACTAAAAGGCGACGGTGGCGCCATTTAAGCTCCTGGTGGAATCTTGACGAACTAAAAAGCGACGGTGGCGCCATTTAAGACCCTGGTGAAATCTCGATGAACTAAAGAGAGACGGTGGCGCCATTTAAGCTCCTGGTGGAATCTCGACGAACTAAAAATCGACGGTGGCGCCATTTAAGCCCCTGGTAAAATCTCGATGAACTAAAGAGCGACGGTGGCGCCATTTAAGCTCCTGGTGGAATCTCGACGAACTAATAAGCGACGGTGGCGCCATTTAAGACCCTGGTGAAATCTCGATGAACTAAAAAGCGACGGTGGCGCCATTTAAGACCCTGGTGAAATCTCGATGAACTAAAGAGCGACGGTGGCGCCATTTAAGCTCCTGGTGGAATCTCGACGAACTAAAAAGCGACGGTGGCGCCATTTAAGCTCCTGGTGGAATCTCGACGAACTAAAAACCGACGGTGGCGCCATTTAAGACCCTGGTGAAATTTCGATGAACTAAAAACCGACGGTGGCGCGATTTAAGGCCCCTGGTGAAATCTCGATGAACTAAAGAGCGACGGTGGCGCCATTTAAGCTCCTGGTGGAATCTCGACGAACTAAAAAGCGACGGTGGCGCCATTTAAGCCCCTGGTGGAATCTCGACGAACTAAAAAGCGACGGTGGCGCCATTTAAGCCCCTGGTGAAATCTCGATGAACTAAAAAGCGACGGTGGCGCCATTTAAGCTCCTGGTGGAATCTCGAGGAACTAAAAAGCGACGGTGGCGCCATTTAAGCTCCTGGTGGAATCTCGACGAACTAAAAAGCGACGGTGGCGCCATTTAAGCCCCTGGTGAAATCTCGAAGAACTAAAAAGCGACGGTGGCGCCATTTAAGCTCCTGGTGGAATCTCGACGAATTAAAAAGCGACGGCGGCGCCATTTAAGCCCCTGGTGAAATCTCGACGAACTAAAAAGCGACGGTGGCGCCATTTAAGCCCCTTGTGAAATCTCAATGAACTAAAAAGCGACGGTGGCGCCATTTAAGACCCTGGTGAAATCTCGACGAACTAAAAATCGACGGTGGCGCCATTTAAGCCCCTGGTAAAATCTCGACGAACTAAATAGCGACGGTGGCGCCATTTAAGCTCCTGGTGGAATCTCGACGAACTAAAAAGCGACGGTGGCGCCATTTAAGCCCCTGGTGAAATCTCGATGAACTAAAGAGCGACGGTGGCGCCATTTAAGCTCCTGGTGGAATCTCGACGAACTAAAAAGCGACGGTGGCGCCATTTAAGACCCTGGTGAAATCTCGAGGAACTAAAAAGCGACGGTGGCGCCATTTAAGCTCCTGGTGGAATCTCGACGAACTAAAAAGCGACGGTGGCGCCATTTAAGCTCCTGGTGGAAAATCGACGCACTAAAAAGCGACGGTGGCGCCATTTAAGCCCCTGGTGAAATCTCGAAGAACTAAAAAGCGACGGTGGCGCCATTTAAGCCCCTGGTGAAATCTCGACGAACTAAAAAGCGACGGTGGCGCCATTTAAGCCCCTGGTGAAATCTCGATGAACTAAAAACAGAAAAGGTGTAGAGATAGGATTCTTTAAAAAATTGAGCACACCTCCATGAAGAGCTACAAGCATCCTTGCTTCGGCGCATTTTAGTTCATACGAGTTGTATTACTACACGTAAGAGGATTCATGTACAATCCAGGCGCGACTTCCGTCGTAGAGAGTGGAGTACACGAAAGTGCCGCTCTTGTAAGGATTTCCCTCGGATCGTTCACAGGTTTCTTAAAGATGTGAGCCAAACCCGCCGCTTCTGTCCTCAAGATACAATCAGCAGACTCTGGATCCAAAAAACTACAGGAGCTTAAAAATGGCGCCACGGTCGCTTTTTAGTTCCTCGAGATTTCCACCAAGGTGTTAAATGGCGGCCACGTCGTCTTTTTTTTTAGGGGTTTTCATTCGGGCTTTCACCACGGTCTTATATGGGCGCGCACGGGTTTGCTTTTTAGGTTTCCTGGGATTTCACCTCAGGGTCTTCAATGGGGGCACGTCCCCGGGCTTTTAGTTCTCGAGATTTCACCAAGGAACTTAAAATGGCGAGGTCGCTTTTTTAGTTTCGTCGGAGGTATTCACAGGAGCTTAAATGGCGCCACCGTCGCTTTTTAGTTTCCTGCGTGTTTCACCAGGGTCCTTAAATTTGGCGCACGTCGCTTTTTTAGTTCATCGAGAATTTCACCAGGGTCCTTAATGGCGCCACCGTCGCTTTTTTAGTTCCTCGAGATTTCAGCGCGAGTGGTCTTAAATGGCGCCAAACCGTCGGCTTTCTAGTTTCCTCGAGATTTCACCAGGGTCCTTAAATGGCGCCACCGTTCGCTATTTAGTATCGTCGAGATTCCACCAGGAGCTTAAATTAAATGGCGCCACCGTCGCTTTTTTTTTAGTTCTATCGAGATTCCACCAGTGAGCTTAAATGGGCAGCGTCTCTTTTAGTTCATGCGGAATTCACCAGGCGTCTTAAATGCGCCACCGGGGTCCTTTTTAGTTCGCTCGAGATTTTTCACCAGGGTTCTTAAATGGCGCCACGTCGATTTTTAGTTCGTTCGAGATTCGCACACCAGGAGCATTAAATGGCGCCACCGTCTTCTTTAGTTTGTCTCGGAGATTTTTCACCAGGGTCTTAAATGGCGCCACGCGTCGCTTTTTTTAAGTTCGTCGAGAATTTCACCAGGAGCTTAAATGGCGCCAACCGTCGCTTTTTGTTCCTCGAGATTCCACCAGGTGCTTAATGGCGGCCAAAACACGGTCGCTCGTTTTAGTTCATCGAGATTTTACCAGGGGCTTAAATGGCCGCCCACCGGTCGATTTTTAGTTCGTCGAGATTTCCACCAGGAGCTTAAATGGCGCGCCACCGTCCTCTCTTTAGTTCCTCGAGATTTCACCAGGGTCTTAAATGGCGCCACCGTCGCTTTTTTTAGTTCGTCGAGATCCGCCAGCGAGGCCCTTAAATGGCGGCCAGCGTCTGCTCCTGGTAGTTCTCGGATTTTTCAACCCCAGGGGCTTAAATGGCGCCACCGTCCGCTTTTTAGTTCGTTCCGAGAATTCCACGCCAGGAGCTTAAATGGCGCCACCCGGTCCTCTTTAGTATCGAGATTATCAGCCAGGGGCTTAAATGGCGCACCGTCGATTTTTAGT